TTATTGCACATTGTGAAAAAAACTGTATTAACATTCCTCAAAAGATTAAGAATAAAAACTCTATATGACACATTTATCTCATTATGAACACTCCCAAAGTTTAAGACCCACTAACTTGATGAGACCTATTCATGCTCATGATTACTGAAACACTATTTGCAGCATCCAAGAGCTGGAAGCTACATAATGGATGCTTAGATAGAAAGAATGTGGTATATATACACAATGGAATATTGCCTTAGAGACGTAGATATAGACAACATGGTGACATAGAGGGTATTATGCTTAGTGAAATAAGTTAGAAGGAAAAAGACAAGCACCACATTATTTTACATATTACTTGACCACATAAATAAACTAACACAATAACAAAAATAGGAGACTAACACCCAAGAATGGCCAAGATTAGTACCAGGAATTTTACTCCATGTCTTGGAGGCCAACCACACATTCTAGGGGAAAAGGGAGCTCAGATAGAGAAGGGAACACCAAATAAAGGTGTTGGGAGGATCCTCCCAGGATGGAAGAAGCATGCTGAAAGTAGACTATAGACTAAACATGATTGTCACCCATTGCCTCTTTTGCAAACCACAACACCCAATAAGAGAGAGAGAACAAAAGGGAATGTCCTGCCACAGAGGCCGGGTGGGATGGGGGGATGAGTGGTGGGAGGGATACTGGGAACCGTGGTGGTGGGAAATGGGCACTAGTGGAGGGATGGGTATTTGATCATTGTACAATTGAAACCCAAGCACAAAAATGTGTAAGTCTGCAACTGTACCTCATGATGTCTCACTATTAAAAATTTTTTTAAAAAAAGGAAGAAGAGAAAACTTCTAGGCAATCAATTGGTCAAATAATATCTTAGACTATTAAGCAATACAACATCTAATACCATTTAATTAAAATAATAGATTTTTAAAATAATGGACTTTTTAGCAAATATACGGAGATATAACTGCAAAAAAGGTTAATTCTTTTTATTAATTTGTTTAGCAGAACTTATGAGGAACCATATAGGGTAGTCAGAATGAAAACCTCTTGCAGACAAAGCATGCAAACCTCCCTTTAAGCCATCTTCACAGCCCCCAAGCTTAGTTCTTTTATCATTAGAAAACCTTGTTTACTTTGTTTACTTAAGTAATCAAACATTAAGTATACAAGTAAGTAGGCATAACATGAAATACAAGATATTATCTGTGTTATTCATATGTGATTGAGCTAAGATTAGAATCATTTTAACATGGCTTTATAAATGCTAAAAGGACAATTTTCAAGATTTTTCTCATATGCCTTTCACAAGTCTCTATTTATTTTAGTTTGTCATTTATTCCCCTTTTTATTTAGAAATAATTACTTTTCATCATTTGCATTTCCCTTAACAAAAAGTATCATTAATTCTAACTTCTCTTACTGAAAATATACATACTACTTTCTTGCATATAGAGTTATCCCTTTACAATTCTGTTATCTCTGACCAAATATATTAATTGGAATTTTTCATCTTTGAAAACTTAAATTTTCCATGAAGGGTAATAATTACATTGTGAACTATATGTTATATAGCATTTTATGTTGAGAAAATTTTACAAATACTTTTCATAATTTCTAGAATCATTATTTCTCCAAGCACAAATTTTCAATAAGGCAAAAAAATTCTTCACAACTAGACCCAAATCTTTTAAGCTTTTTAAATATGAGGCCAAAAGTAATTAAACTTAGACTTATTTAACAATGTTTCAGTGTTTTATCCTGCTTGGGTGTGATCTGGACATTCAATTATTTTTTTCCATTGTTTAACTTTACTTAGTGAAACTTCAAATAAATAAAATATTTTGAACCTAATATCAAGTAGACATGTCATAAAACAACAAAATTTTTAAAGTTGATCTATGCCCTCATCTCAGTACACCTATTTAAATAATTTATTATCATTATTGAAGTTTGAAAACTAAATAAGACAAAGCTAGGCATTATCCTATTATTTTTATTAGTGAAAACTTTGTAACCTAAGAAAACATAACATTACTTGACTAATGATCCCAGACTGAAAGATGACTGTATCACATTTAATATTCATATCCTGAAGACATGTCTATATAAATTAAACCAATTTAAGCTAGCTTTTATTTATTGAAAGATATCCTAGGTCATAAGCTTGAAAAAAGATTTTGGATGTGTTTTAATATGCCAGAAAATTTTAGGAATTTTAATGGGAAAGAATTTTCAACTTTTGTGTATGTCATTGGCGATTGGTAGAGAGAACACATAGTACGTGGTGCACAGGGATCACCAGGTGTTACTCAGGGGAAAATCTTAAGTGCCAAGACCATGTTTTCCTCTTGGATAGCATTCCCATAAGCCTGGCGTTTTCTATTACTGAAAACTTAAGTTACTTTTTGTAAGAAACTTTGGCAAGCATCTGCCCCGTGAAGTCACAGTACAAGAAAGGCAAGGATTCACTGTATGCCTGGGAAAGACGGCGTTATGACAGGAAGCATAGTGGTTATGGAGTTCAGACTAAGCCAGTTTTCCAGAAAAAGGCTAAAACTACAAAGATTGCGATGAGGCTTGAATGTGTCCACACTCAGACTTGAGTCCAACTGCGGTTCTAAGATAATGCTAGCCATTAAGAAATGCAAGCATTTTGAACAGGGAGAAGAAAAAAAGAGGAGACAGGTGATCCAGTTCGAAGCATCATCTTTTATTATGAAGACAGAAGTCCTGGGCTCTATAGGAAACAAATAGTGTTTAGGGAGGGAAATGAAGTAATATCATGAATAAACTCCCTGAGAGGGAAAAAAATGAAAATGACAAAGAGTGCCAGGATCAAATATCTTGGCTATTGTAAATAACATTTCAATGAAATATAAGGGTACATATATCTCTTTAAATTATCAGTTTTTATTCTTTAGATTAGTTATAATTAGGAGTTGACTTGATATGATAGATCTACTTTTAGTTAATTTGAGAAATCTCTATTCTGTTTGCTTTAGAGACTGGACCAATTTACTTTCCATTAACAGTGTGTTAGAGTTCTGTTTTTCTCTTTATACCTGCCAAGACCTGCTGGTTCTGGCGTTTTTAATGGTGTCCGTTTTGAAAGAAGATAGTATCTCATAGTGATTGTGATTTGTATTGACCTCATGATAATGATAATGAGCATTTCTCATGTGCCTGCTGACCATTTGTATATTCTCTTTGGCAAAGTGTCCTAATATATTCAGTCCTTTTAACTATTGAGGGGAGCACATGCCACACATTTCGCAGTACTCGGGAGCTATACCTGGCTTTATGTCAAGAGCCACGCCCGGTGGTGCCATACATAGATAGTTCTGGAATTTCAGCTATCATTGCAGTGGCATGCAAGGCAAATTACTTAACCTCTGTACTCTCTCTCTCTCTCTCTCTCTCTCTCTCTCTCTCTCTCTCTCTCTCTCTCTGCCTGGCCCTCTTATCACTATTTGTTTTGTGGAACTTTCTTTTAGAGTTTTGTAAGATTCTTTTAAATCATATATTAGCCCTTTGCCAAATGTACTTTTTGTGATGCAAATACTTTTGCCTATTTAGTAGGATTTTTTAATTTTAATTATAGCTTCTTTTGCTGCGAAGAGGTTTACAGTTTGGTGATTTTCATTTTTTCCCTCTTTCATGGAGTTAAATCCCTGAAGACATCACTGAATCAATATGAAGGGGTGTTTACTTATGAAATCTTCAATGTTTTTACAGTTTTGATTTAATATTCAAGTCTTTAATACATTTGAGTTAACTTCTTGTTCTGGCATGATATGGTGATCTACTTTTTCTTTTGGATTTGGCAATCTAGATATTCTAACACCAACTAATTTTCCTGTACAATCTACATTTTTTAACACCAATAGAGGAAAAAGACCCTCCTTTCAACATTTTTTCCTTCTCCACATACTCCTTTAACCCTTAACATAAATTAGTTGTATTATAAATATAAGTGAGGATTTAATTCTGGGTTTTTAATTCTATTCTACTCTGTATGTCTATTTTTATTCCTATACCACACTTCTTTCTTAAGGATGGGGACAAAATGCCAGGGATTAAACCTTAGGGCCTCCCATAAGCAAGGTGAACACTCTACTACTGAACAACATTCCCAATCCCAATATCACATCCTCTTGATAACTATTGATTTCCTCATAATATATTTTGCAGTTGAGAAGAATGATGTCTCCATAATTTATTCCCCACCATACTCATAATTGTTTTACATTTGAGGGATTGTTGTGATTCCATGTGTATTTCAGAGCCATCTGTTCTATTTCCTAGAAGAATGCCACTGGGACTCTGATAAGACTTGCATTGAATTTATATAATGTGCTGTATAGGATGACTATTTTAATAATGTTAATTCTTTCACACATGAATACTGAATATCTTTTTATATTTTTTATTTTTTATTTAGATTTTTATTAGTGAAACACCATGAGGTACAGTTGTAGATTTACAAATTTTTGTTCTTGGGTTTCAGTTATACAATAATCGAATACCCATCCCTCCACCACCACTGATCCCAGTATCCCTCCCACTCCCCATCCCCCCCATCCCACCCTGTCTCTGTCTTCCATTTCTTTCAATCATCACGTATAGTTTTTGATATACAAGACTTTTACCTTTTTCATTAAGTTTATTCCTAAGTACTTAATTCTTTTTAATTAAATTGAAAATGATATTTAAATCACATTTTAAAAAATCTTTTACTAAGTTAATCCTAAAAGAGAAAATCATTATAAGAATAAAATGGGTGTAACCTTAGTTAAAAATCATTTGCTTTTCTCATAATAACAATGGCAATCATCTAAGATATCAAAGCACTGATTAGGACTATACAATACTTAAATCTCAAACAGTTTAATACATGAACTTTAAGCTTTTATATATGTTGCTTATAAGATTAAACACATAATTGTGTGACTAGACTAATAAAGTATAATGTTAAAATAATATACAATATTGTTACTTTTTCCAAGGAAGAAATTTGCAGCATTGCTATGGCTATGAGTGAACATATAAATCTACCTGAAATGACCAAAGACTGGACCAAAGAGGATGTGAAACAATGGGTAACAAAAGAGCTTAAGATTGCTGAGGAATATGGACAGATTCTGCTTAATGAAGAAGTGTCAGGATTATCCCTTCAAGAAGCAACTGAGGAAGACCTTAGAGAAATGGGACTTCCACGAGGTCCAGCACTTTTGATAAAACGCGCTTACAACAAATTGAATAATACTTCTCCTGAAAGTAACTCTCCAAATTCTAGACAATTAGATTCTACAAACCTCTCCAAAAAGAAAAGTAAAAAAAGGTCACAAAAAATAAAAGAGGAAAACTCAGTGTCATCCAATAGTGATCATGATCTAAAGGATTCATTAAATACCAAGGAACAAGAATCAGTTCCTATAGACAAAGATCCATTAAACTATCAAGCAATAGCTGAAGACCAAAAGGGTAAGCTAAAAACAGAACAGTCCACTTGTGTGCCATATCCTTTTGATCAGTTCCATGACAGTCGATGTTATATAGAACATCATATTCTACAACCTGAAACAGGACCACGCAATCTCATAGACCCAATACACGAGTTCAAAGCCCTCACAAATACAGAATCAGTTGAAGAAAAAGACATTCAAATGAAATTCAGCAATGAAGTCTTCCGATTTGCATCGGCTTGTATGAATTCACGGACCAATGGCACCATTCATTTTGGAGTTCTAGACAAACCCCAGGGAGAAATTGTAGGTGTGAAAGTGACCAGGAAGGATTCTTTCATTGACCACTTTAATAAAATGATCAAACGTTATTTTGAAGATAGTGAAATCAAAGAAGCCAGGAAATGCATTCGTGAGCCAAGGTTTGTGGAAGTCCTACTGCAGAATAACACATTGTCTGACAGATTTGTTATTGAAGTAGATGTTATCCCAAAACACTCTGTATGTCAAGATAAGTATTTCTACACCAAGATGCAAGAACTAGAAGATGGAATATGGAAACAAACTGAAAACACTTCGCTGTTTGTGAGGGAGGGAGCTAGCACTAAAGATATTCTGGCCAATGAAAGGACCCGTGATGTAGCTTTCAAAGCATTTCTGCAAGATTTAAAGTCACTAATGACAATGAGAAAAGAGGCTGAAGAAAAATATGAGGTGAAAGTAAATAAGCAGGAAAGTGAAGGACAGAAGTTGATTAAACTTCTCATCGGAAATCGAGATTCACTAGATAGTTCATACTACAATTGGTACATTCTTGTAACAAATAAATGCCATCCAAACCAAACAAAGTTCTTAGATTTTCTGAAAGAAATAAATTGGTTTGCTGTGTTGGACTTTGATCCTGAATCTGTTAGTAAGGGGGTAGTAAAAGCTTTCAAAGAAAGTCGAGCAGCAAATCTTCATTTTCCAAGTCAATATGTGGAGGGGAAATCAACACAAAATGAGACTGTTTGTAGCCTGAATCTTTATCAACAAACCAGCTGGATTTTCTGCAATGGCAGATCAGACTTGAAAGATGAAATATATAGGCCTCTAGAACCTCATTTATGGAATAGAAAAAGAGCTTCAGAAGTCACAAAACTGACATTATTTCTCACAGATGAGAGTATAATGGCAAGAGGAAAATTTCTGGTAGTATTTCTATTACTCTCTCCTGTAGAAAGCCCAGGAGATCCACTCATCGAAACTTTCTGTGCTTTCTATAAAGCTCTCAATGGAATGGAAAACATACTGTGTATCTGTGTAAATTTAGATATTTATCAACGATGGAAAGATCTACTACAGGCAAGATTGATATTGGAAAATGAATTAGCAAACCACACTATTTCCACCTTAAATTTAGAATTCCTGAACAGTACTATCCTGAAACTAAAATCAGTGACACGATCCTCAAGAAGGTTTTTGCCCTCCTATGGGTCCTCTTCAGTTATTCTTGAAAAAAAAGAAGAAGATATTTTGACTGCACTGGAAATTCTCTGTGAAAATGAGTGTGAAGACACTGACATAGAAAAAAATAGAACTAAATTTCAAGAATTTAAAAAATCGAAAGAAGAACAGTTTTATCGGGGTAGTAAAGTGTCTTGGTGGAATTTCTACTTTTCTTCTGAAAACTATTCTTCAGCTTTTGTCAAAAGGGATAGTTATGAAAACCTAAAGAAGCTTATAGAAGATTGGGCAGAGTCTCCTAAACCATTATTTGCAAAAATTATCAATCTGTATCATCATCCAGGTTGTGGGGGTACTACATTGGCAATGAATGTTCTCTGGGAGCTCAGAAAAAAATTCAGGTGTGCTGTACTAAAAAACATAACAGCTGACTTTGCAGAAATTGGAGAACAAGTGACCAAACTGATTACCTATAAGGCAAGCAGTCATCAGGACTACATTCCTGTACTTCTTCTTGTGGATGACTTTGAAGAACAAGAAAATGTCTGCAATCTACAAGATGCCATCCATTTCAGTTTAGCAGAGAAGGATTTACGATATGAAAAAACGCTAGTAATTATTTTAAACTGCATGAGATCCCAAAATCCTGAAGAAAGTGCAAAGTTAGCAGACAGTATTGCACTAACATACCAACTTTCTCTCAAAGAACAGAGAGCTTTCGGGGCCAAACTGGAAGAAATTGAAAAAGAACACAAGAACTTTGAGAACTTTTATTCCTTCATGATCGTGAAAAGTAATTTTGATGACAAATATGTAGAAAACGTGGTTAGAAATATTTTTAAAGGACATAATGCTGACAGCAAAGAAACACAGCTCATTTCTTATTTAGCTCTACTCAACTCCTATGTTACTGATTCTACAATTTCAGTGCCACAGTGTGAAATATTTTTGGGAATCAGGCACACTCCATCACCTTGGGTGCCTGAAAGCATAGAAGACAAGATGGGAACATACTCTACACTTATAATAAAAACAGAAGTCAAAGAATATGGATATGAGGGCGTACGCATCATTCATTCCTTGATTGCTCTTTGCTGTCTAAAAGAGTTGGAAAAAAGCTATCGCTTGGATAAGAGTCGAATTGCACTGAATATGTTAAGGGAGAAACTATTCTATGATTCCGGGATAGGAAAAGACAAGTTTCAACATGATGTGCAAACTCTTCTTCTTACAAGACAGCGTAAAGAGCATGGAGATGAAACAGATACTTTGTTTTCCCCACTAATTGAAGGTTTAGACAAGGAAGATGTTGAAACTGTCTTAACTGCAGGAAGCGATAGGTTCCCCAATAATGCATTCATTTGTCAAGCCTTAGCAAGACATTTCTACATTAAGAAGAAGAACTTTGACACTGCTCTGCTTTGGGCAAATCAGGCCAAAATGAAAGCACCTAACAACTCCTATATCTCAGATACACTCGGTCAAGTCTACAAAAGTGAAATCAAATGGTGGCTGGAAAAAAATAAAAACTGCAAAACAATTTCTGTTAGTGATCTAACATATTTCCTAGAAGCTGCTGAAAAAGCCTCAAAAGCTTTTAAATTGTCCCAAGAGCAAACTGATAAGAAAAACTGTGAAACAGAGGATTGGTTACTAAAGAGGTTCCCAAGAAAATATGACATGTATAATACAGCTGGCTTCTTGGGTGAAATAGAAGTTGGTCTTTTTGCTATTCAGATTCTCCAGCTCATTCCCTGTTTTCACAAAGAAAATGAATTATCAGAAAAACTTATGGCAAAATTTTTATTGGGAAAGGTAAATGTTCCCACAAATCCAAAAAGTGATTATTATTTGGCTCTTGGAAAATTTACATCTTACTTACAAAATTTACAACCAGACTTAAAAAGGTGCTTTGACTTTTTTGCAGATTATATGGTTTTTTTGAAAACAAGGACTGTCCATAAAGAAATTACAGAAATCTCATTAAGAAAGAAAATCGGTCGTTGTTTCATGAGCTATATAAGCATTTTCAGTCACTCAGAATTGGGTACAACACAAGCTCAAGAGAATCTGTTACTCCAAGAGGAAAAGTGCAGGAAAAAACTAGAAGGATGGAGAGCAGATAGGTTTTCTTTACTCCTAGAATATCTTAATCCAAATCATAAAGATGCTGCAGCCACCATAGAAAATATAGTCAAAGAATATACCTTCTTATTGCAGCAAAATCCTCAAAACCCAATGAGAAAGGAGAAACAAAACTTCATCTTGGCCAACATTATTCTTAGTTGTCTAAACCCCAACTCAGAATTTATTGAACCACTTGACACATTGAAGGAACTTCTCCGGGAAGTGTTACAACTTGCAAAACTAGATCATCATTATCCAGATCCTTTTTTCTTAGCCTGCCTCCTGTTTTGGCCAGAAAATCAAGTGCTAGATCAAGATTCCCGATTACTGGAAAAGTATGTTGCATCCTTAAAGAAATCTTTCAACAGACAGTATAGGCGCATGTGCAGGTCCAAGAAGGCAAGCACACTCTTCTATCTAGGGAACAGAAAGGGCCTCAAAGGTCTTGTTCACAAGTCTGAGATAGAGCAGTACTTCAGTAAAGTACCAAATACTAATATTCTATGGCAGAATGGAGATGTATGGAAGAAAAAAGAAGTCAAAAGCCTCTTGTGTCGTCTAACTGGTCAGGCTGAAGGCAAGCAAATTTCTATACAATATGGAACAGAGGAAAAAATAAATATACCAGTGATATCTGTTTATTCAGGACCACTCAGAAGTGGTAGGCACATACAAAATGTATCTTTCTACTTAGGATTTTCCATGGAAGGTCCTTTAGCATATGATATAGAGTTTATCTGAGGGGAAAAAAATTAGTTCAAATATATTTAGTCATATACGTATCATTTTCCCTCTGTTCTCATAGCATATTGATGAAATGACTAACTTACTTCTAATCACAGTGCTATTGTCTCCTCCAAAGAATAAGCCTTTATAGGACTTAGCAGAGTTGGCACAAGTCAAGTTGTTTGTAAACATGCATTTCAAAAGAATGATAGAAGAGTGCATTCTCATATGGAATTTGTTGAATTTGAACATAATTTTGATATTCTGAATTTATAAAATACTATGACAGTACAAACTAACAAAGTGACACAAATACTAAACTTTATTACTGACATCACTATAAGTACATTGGGGAGGAGCCAGAGAGACAGTACAGTTAGTAGGGCATTTGCCTTCCACAAAGCCAACCCAGGTTCAATTCCCAGCATTCCATATGGTCTCTCGAGCCCGCCAGGAGGAATTCCTGAATGCAGAATCAGGAGTAACCTCTGAGCATTGATGGGTATGGCCCAAAAATCAAAAGAAGAAGCAGAATAGGAGGAGATTCAGAAAACTAAACAATCAGAAAAGTCAACTTTAAAGAAAAATAGAGGGATATGAGAAGCTCTTTCAATATTTCTATAGCTGTTCAATGTAATGATAGCTAGTTTATTTTGTGTTATTTCAAGATAGTATCAAATCTATTACAAATCAAATGAAGATTTATTTCTACTAAGGACAAGGAGACACTCTCTACTACTAAGAATCACAGATGTTCAATGTTGGAAGCAGCTTCCTAGAAAAGCAGATGAACTTCTAGTGACTTGATGGGTTCAAGCCAAAACGGAATAATCATCTGGAAAGTGTGCTATAAAATAGGATGTCAAACTCACTGTGATTAGGGGACAGTTCTCCAATTCATTGTGGCCCAATATTTTATAAATTGCAATAAAACTAAATTGGAAGAAATGAGAAAGAAAAAATATAAGTTCTGTGTTTTGGAGACACAGAAGTTGGGTCACACTGACTGTGCTCAGGGATTACTCTTGGTTTTGTACTCAGGGATCACCTGTGTTGAGGTTCAAACCCAGCACACAAGGCAAGATAATACAAATGCTGAAACTGCAGTACTATCCCTACAGCCTTAAAGTTTAGTATTTTAATTTTCATATTTAATCAAGAAAAAGTTAAATTTCTATTATTAGCATTAGAGCAAACAGAAAAGGGAAACATAAAAGAATAACTAAAACTGGGATTCATTGTAAATGTATTTTTAAGATAAATATGGAAAAATTCACCCTGAGTATTTTATTGTCTTCAAAGGCAACAGAAAAAAATTATGAGTGATTTAGAAATTTAGTGATTTAGAAATATAGTATATTTTATGCATATAGAAATATATGCATACATTAGATAAGCAATAAGCATGTTCAAATCTTTAGTGTTCAGTGTGAAAAATGAGCTTGTTTCTAACATAGATCATATTGACAACAGTGCAATTTTCAAAGAATGATGTAAATCTAACCTAATTCTCTGTTTTTATTTTTAATATCTTTCATAATGAAAAAATCAGCTTTACGAAGTGAAGATGATATGAATGGGAAAAAGAAATTTTAGGGCCTGTATGCAACCCAGAGATGGAGCACTTGTCTCACATGTATTAGGCTCTGGATTTTATTCCTAGAACTGCAAAAAAAAAAAAAAGAAAGAAAGAAAAAGAAGAAAAGAAAAAGAATTTCATCATGCTCAGAATATTTGTTCAGAATGATGCAAGTGAAGCTGTATTTTTAAAATTCACTTAAAATTCTCTAATAGTTACTGTTAGAACAGTGTATCATATACATTTATAATTGTCATTTTTAATTCAATGAATTTTATATCTAAGAAAAATTAAATATGGATTTTCATTGAATATTTAAGAAGTATCAATTACATATTCTGATCACTTTATGACTTATTATAGGCCAATAAATCTTTAAAATTTATTTTGTTGTTATGAATTATTTATTTATATATTTTGTTTGTTTGGGGGGGTCACACCCAGCCATTCTCAGGGGTTACTACTGGCTCTGCACTCAGGAATCACTCCTGGTGGCTATTGGGAGCATAATTTACTAAAAAAAAAGTAACAAAGACAACTTATTTGATAGAAATTAGACAAAACATTCTCAAAAGAGAATACTATTCAATGAAAAATAAAATAACTGATATGTAAAACACTGAGGTCCATCTCAGTAACATTGCACTAAATAAAAAAGACAAATCACAAAACACTGCATAGCACTTGTGTTCAGTGTATCTGAACATATATATGTGGGTCAGGTAAAAGTAGTCTAACAGTGAGCAAAGCAGTAAGAGTGCTTCCCTTCGCAGGGAATTAGGAGTGATTAAGAAAGGACAGGGAATATTATCCATGGTGGTGGAAAATGGGCACTGGTGGAGGGATGGGTATTTGATCATTGTATGACCGAAACCCAAGCACAAAGATTTGTAAATCTACAACTGTACCTCATGGTGCTTCACTAATAAAAAAAATATATAATAAAAAAAAAAGAAAGGGCAGGGAATGTCAGAAAAGGTCTGTATTTAGACTGAGGTGTGAATTACTATACATTAACTGAAGTGTATAGTCTGTCAATTTGTCAAATTTTTACATTTCATGTGGGGGCTCTCCAATTTTATCTCTACAAAGGTAAAACCAGAATAAGGAATGTAAAACTAAAGAGTCCACAGCAGAAAGTTAATAGTTTTTAAGCTGTCTTCTGCCCCCGCGCCTGGCTGTTCCTCGCCGGGGCCCCTTGGAGGGAAGCGGGTTGAGCTTTCCTCCCCGCCCCGACCAGGGCTTCGGCAGCCGAAGACCTTCAGGACCAGCCACCACCATGCTGAGACCACTCTCCACACACATGAAGGTACTGGCAGAGGGACAAAGCCACGCGGGTTCCGGGGCCGAGATCTCCAAGCCTACTCGGATTGGAGTTGAGCATCTCAGATCCTCCAAATTCCAGTAGGCGGGGGTCACACCCACCACCTGGCCCCCTGGCGCGGTGTAATCCCATCAAAGGCCAAGACTGAGAGACCATAAAATCCAGCTCCCGGAACCGCGCGGCCGCGGGACATCTTTTATGACATTTTATTATTTCATTCCTACTTTGAACAAACTTGCAGGCTATTGAATGTAGCCTCCCCACAGGGCAGAGTCTGGCAAACTCCCCGTGGCATACCAAATATGCCAAATACCAGTAACAATGATGGGTCTCATTCTCCTAAAGAGCCTTGAATATAATCTCAGGGCTAGGATGAAAGAGACGTTACTGGGGCCTGCTCGAGGCAATCGACGAATAACAGGATGATGAAATGAAAAAAATGAAAAAAGCTGAATAATGGAAGAAGCAAGGGTTCATTATGCTATTCTGTTTATTTGGCTTACATTTGAAATTTTCCAAAGAAAATATTTGTATATTATGCTACAATAGTCTATAAATGATGTGAGAAGTGGAGGGAAATCGCGCGCGTGTGTGTGTGTGTGTGTGTGTGTGTGTGTGTGTGCATATTCATAGACTCTAGATGTTAGCAATTTTTTGTTTTTGTTTTTGCTTTTTGGGTCACACCCAGCCGATGCTCAGGGGTAACTCCTGGCTCTTCACTCAGGAATAACTCCTGGAGGTGCTTGGGGGACCATATGGGATGCTGGGAATCGAACCTGGGTGGGCCATGTGCAAGGCAAACGCCCTACCCACTGCGATATTGATCCAACCCCTAGACTGTTAGTAATTGTGAATGGAACATAAATGGTATCTATGCATTGTTTGCTTGTATTTATTGTTGTTTCTAACTTTTTATATGTTTATGTTAAAAGTTTTAAATTTTGTTTTATTTAGAACCAGATTGAGTAGTGCTTAAAAATGATTCCCAGCTTTTTGCTGGTATTGCTCCAGGCAGTGCAGTACTCAAGGGAAAATGTAGTGCTGGGATGAACTCAGGGCTCCCCTAATCAAAGAATGCACTGTAAGCATCTTGAGCATACGTTCTACCCAACCCTGTTTCTAGCTTTTGAAATTAAATACATATTAACTTTTGGATTTAGAAAAATACCATGAGTATTTTTAAAGGAGTAACTACCAAAAGAAAAGATGATCTGAATCAATAAAGAGAGGAAAAAATGTGTTGAAGACTCAGGGTAAAACTTTTCTCAGGTTGAGCAACATGCTGCAGAGTGCTTCCGGATCTTGAACACAGTTGTCCCATCTGAAGCAATGTGAAAATGGACAGGTGAGTCACAGGCTCAGATGAGCCTCATCCATGAGTGAATCTTCTGAGAAACTTGGCTATGCAGGTTTTGTGACCACAATCTATAGACTCACATGAAGTCAGGAATGGGCAACCTCCCCCATCTCCCTGTTCTTCCAGGAGCCTGGCAGTCATACCCATGAACTGCCTCTGACGCTATATAAGCCCATTAATGGCCATGCTCTAGAGACTCACAAATAAATCTCAGAAGAGAAAGAGAGCAACATATTGCAAAGATGCCTCTGGACCCCAAAGTCACCATCCAGTTAAAAAATTAACTCCAGCTTTATCACCCAATTAAAATTTTTAATCTCTTGGAGTGACATCTCATACTTTGTACAACTGGAGTACCGAGAGTAGCACACCACCACATTTGATGTAGTATAAAGTAGAAGGCAACCAACCTCTATCTATCTATCTTTCTCCATATATATGCATATATATATGTACATTCATAGATACACACACAGGGCTCAGTCTTTAACAACATGTTAGTAATATCTTATACAAGGACTTAATGACTCCAGAGTGAGGGTGAGATGTAATAATGTTCACAGACTTTCCTCTAAGGAAACATTTTTGAATCATTTTAGCAGATTATCCATAACAAGCAATATGAAATAAATTATTTAGGTTCTGCTTTGGGGACAGGCTTTGGAGGTTGAGGTAGAAAAATTCAAATTATGGTGTTGGATGGTGTAATAGTTATGGGATTGGTGTTGGAATGTTGAATGTGATGAATTATTGTGAAAAACTTTAAAAAATAAATTTTAAAAATTAAAAAATATGAAACCTTAATAAAAACTTTCCTCAGGTTAAGAAGCTTCTTGAAGTTTTATAAGATAGCAGTATAGTAGTTCTTTTGTTGGGGGAAAAAGAAGGATATGAAAA